CAGTGTTGTAATCGTGTTTAGGATTGTCACTTGAGAGAACATTTTCACTCACGACACTAGCGTTCTTGGCGATCAACTTCAATGGATAGCTCAGCGCTTTCTTAACAATATCAGCTCTGACCTTTTCTTCATCGTTTGCTAAAGTATGTTTAATGGCATCCACTTTCGATGCAAGTCTTAGTAGAGTGCATCCACCTCCAACAACAATTAATACCTTCTTTCACAGCCGCCTTTGTAGCATTAAGAGCATCCTCGACTCTCAATTTCTTCTCCTTAAGCTCTGTCTCAGTTTGTACTCTAACCTGAATTACAGCAACACCACCCGATAATTTAGCAATTCTCTCGTTAAGCTTTTCCTTCTCGTAGTCTTGTTCAGCAGCCTCGATAAGATTCTTGCTCTTTCAACTCTCTTCTTCACAACTTCTTCAGTAGTTCCATCACCAACAATAGTAGTAGTGTCTTTAGTGAGAACTACCTTAGCGGCATTACCTAAAACTTCTGACCCAACTTTCTCCAATTGAAGCCCAGCTTCTTCCCTAATTACAGTAGCTCCTGTAAGAGTAGCTATGTCATCAAGGTACTGAGACTTCCTTTCTCCAAATTCAAAGCAGCAACTTTAATACTACCACGAAGCTTATTCACAACAAGAGTCGCCAATGGCTCTTGCTCAATATCTTCAGCAATTATCAAAAGCGAGTATCCACCTTAAATCGTATCTTCCAAAACGTTGATAATATCTCTAGCATTTCTTATCTTCGCATCAACAAGAAGCAACTGCAAGAACAAAAGAAGAGACAAATAGTCTAAATTTCTGGCACTTTTAATCAGCTCATAGGATTTAGCTAATCACCACTGTTTTAAGTACCTTGCAGTTTTCGTATTCTGCAGACATTTTCTCACTGTCAGTAACGAAGTAAGGAGACATATAGCCACGATCAAATTGCATTCCTTCAACGACATAAAGGCTATTCTCAGCGCTTTTTCCTTCCTCGAGAGTAACAACACCTTTACGACCAACTTTTGCCATTGCTTCCGCAATCATATTGCCTACTTCGTAATTGTTTCCTGCACTAACTGCCGCAACATCTGCAAGTTCACTATCACTATCTTTGACCTCCTTTGACATTTTCTTCAACTCGGCGACAAGAGCCTTGGTGGTTTTCTCGATTCCTCTGGTGATCAAAACCGGATTTGCACCAGCAGCCACCACCTTTACAACAGAAGTCGTAGTTCCATCACCGACTAAGTCATTGGTCTTGGAAGCAGCTTGTCTCACAAGCTTAGCACCAATGTTCTCAACTGGATCCTCAAGCTCCACCTCTCTAGCGACTGTTACACCGTCATTAACGATTCTCAGGGGACCGTATTTGCTCTCTAGAACAACATTCCTGCCTTTAGGACCAAGAGTAACCCCAACTAAATCTGCAAGTTTATTCACACCAGCTTGAAGCTTCTTAATCGCAGTCACGTCTTTGTTGAAATGCAATTGCTTAGCCGCATAGATTTTGGGGAATCTCACTTTCCTCTGAGCAAAAGTTTGACTTTTACCAAAAGAGCATGATGAAATCGAAACGAAAGATGACAACCGGTTAGAAGGAGGAGCCAATGATGAGCCCATTGAAGACGTTGCGTAAAGGTTGAAGCCATGGTTTCACTCTTGAAAAGGGATCAAGAGAGAGAGAAGATTGGATGGATCAAAGGGTTTTAGCAAGTGA